TCTCAGTTGCTTGCCATCTTAGCTGATACATGAGCTGGGGACCTCCACGTCTGTTTAGGTGGACTTCAAGGCTTTGTATCCTCTGCAAATCATCTGTGAGTGGATCCTAGGATGTGAACCAGTGTGCTCCATGTCAGCAGTTAATGGTAATACTAACCCATGGGCAGGATAAATTAATGGGTATTTTTAAGGCATAGTGAGGATTTGGAGAGTCCTGGAAAGGAACAGAGAAGTGTATTATTGCGTTACTTTATTGTAATGATTTTCCTGGCCAGTGAATGGGAACAGGTGATGTTCCAGCCAGTGCTAACATCCAGATTGGCAGCTGCAGTGAGGAATTCCTGTCCAGCTCGCAATGCTTTCTGCTGTGGGTGTCTGTCCAGGCATGTCCCTCAGGCAGCTCTTAAACTGTTTATCGCACCCATAAGCAGTTTCTAGGAGGAGGCAGGGAATCAGAACAGCTCCCCCCAACCAGAGTCTTCTGGTGTGGGGTCCCCCAGGCTCAGAAGGGCTCCCTGGACTTTGTGTGTCCATGGGATCACAAGGGTCTGTGGGTCCCAGCCAGGCAGAGCTGCCAGACGTGAGGGACTGAAATCACAGAATCACAGAAGCATGGCCTGTGGAGACCAGCGGTTTGTGTAACCCACATGCCTCAGGCTTCTGAAAGCTGATGAAGGAGCCACGATCAGGCAAGCCTGGCATCATTCCAGGTCCAAAGCCAGAGTAAGTCTTGGAGATACAGTTCCCAAACCAATATATACAGTCTTAGATATGCAGCCTTGGAAATACAGTCCTTCCCAAGACCCAGGTTAGACTCAGAGCTCTTCTCACCCTGGGTTTGAAATGGGAGCACTCTGTTGACCCCAGCAGACTCTTCTGTCTTACACAGGACACAACTGAACTGAAGGATGTGACTGCAGTCTTGTTTGTGCTGAGATCTCCTGTTCACTCCACACCTAATGAAGCTGACAGTATATTACCATTTTTATTGGCCTGCATGGCAATTTTTCAGGTGCTAGGTGTGTTTATGATTATCAGGGTCACACCTCAATTAGGAATGGGGAGAGAGATTTTAAACATACTCACACCTTACCCTTCCTCCTCCAGCCTCCCTGAGTGGAAAGAGATTGTGCAGTGCATGGCCTGAATTCCTAAATTGGTTGGTGATATTTGCACTCAGCCTTGAGGGAACCGGCCAGCCTGGCACACAGAATTGCCTGGCTCAGCAGTGCCACGTTGCTGAGCCGTCTCTGCTGCCTCTTGTTGTTCATGACTATCTGTGCCTGTGTGTGCACTTGCAAGTTTAATAGCAGCAATAGTTGCTTTTGTCAGAGATGATATGCAGGCCATAAAACTCATTTGCCATTCTTTTTTTTTTTTTTTTTCCCCTGCTGAGATGCTGAGATATTAAAGCTGTGGAAAAGGCTCCAAAGCCTGTTGGCTATTTCAGATGGAAGTTATATAAGGAGTATGAAAAGAATGCATTTCAATAGTGGCCAGAGGACCTAAAAATACCTCTTTCACAGATCTTTGCTTGGACATTGTGAAAAGATCTAGCAGCTGAAGATACTGCTTTCCAGGAAATCATCCTTAGTCTAGGTTGCAAGCACAGAAGAGGATAGTAAGAAGCTCTCCTGTCCAAAAACAACATAAGGAAGTTGTGTCTTAAAGATTGATACTAGCTGTCCTTACAGCAGCCATCTCCTGTGACATGGGACATTGCCTGAGGGCTCCAGGGAGCTCAGCAGACAACTCACAAGTGGCAAGACCAGTGTCTCAGGGCGATTCCAGGCTGGAGTGACAGAAGAGGGGGGAGGTTGGGATTGAGGACATCACTTAAGGACAAGGTTGTCTCTGGGGCAGTTTCTGGTTTTTTTTCCAAGTGAGCTGAATCCAGCAGTAAGAAACCTCCTGTAGGGACTGTGCTGATTTAAGATTAACCAGGTAAAGGGCAACCTTGATAGAGCACTTCATGGGAAGGAATCCAGAAGAATTTATTGCTTCAAAGATTTGATATTACATATATGGAGTTTTTAGGGCATATACCCAGGTAAAACCAACTGTAGGTCACAGGAGTTCCTCTGGCAGGCAGAGGAGTCCTGGTTTATACTCCATGTTAAAAAGAAGGAACTAACTCCTTTTCCTTCTCTTGACTGGACTGACCAGTTGGTTGCTGTGTGTGTGCTGAGATAACGCACATCCTATTACTGCCTTTGCTGACCTTCTTCAGGCATTCAGCTCTGGATCATTACGGGTGCACATGTATTGAGGGCATGTTATTTGAGGTCTGTTCTATTCTCCTGGGTCCTTGGCCCCAGAGTGGTGGCCGGCTCTAAGTGATGTCTCCACACAGTCCTCAAATGCAGCTCTTGCTGACAGCTTTCAGCAGCATGACTGCCACTGGGAGGCCACTGAATGTGCAAACGGGATGGAAAATCAGCCTGCTTCTCAACCCTCATACCTGGGATGAGACTGCCTACCTCATTTCGCATCAGGGGCGGGAGATGGGGGAATTTAAGGGACATCTGCTGCAGATCAGAGCTGAAATTGCTGGATGCTGTTCCTCCTCAGATACCTAATCTTTACAGCTATCTAGACCTCTCTCCCCTTTTTCCGTTATCTTCCTGGGCATGCTACAGCTGAGAGCAGGCTCCCATGATCAGAACAGCAGGTCATTAAGAGCCTTCTCTAATTGTAAGTGTATTTCTTCACCTTTACAACCAGTGACAAATTGACTTTCACTTTATTGTCTTCTTGTGCCCTGTACGCTCAGTCTGCCTTTGGCTGCACCTGCACAGTGGGTTGGCTGTGTGTGAACCAAAGCAGAATCATCACCCCGAAGTGCTCAGAAATTACCTTTGAAATACAAGAGGAACTTAAACAGGAACATGTTCAAAACGCTAATAACATACTTGGACTTCCTTTGCTTGGCTTTCAGAGTGTGATTACTTCAAGTCTTTAGTCTCTCTGGAATCATGAAAGAAAATATTTATTCTTCACATCTGTTTTTCTTTTAATGAAAATTGGGATTGTCATTCAATCTTATGATTCCAGCACATGTGGCTTCAGGACAGACACTAGCTAACATGAGGC